TGTTTCAATATCCTTCAGCTGATTGAAAATATTAATATCCCTAAAACCCATTCCTCTTTGATCCTTCCGAGTGCACAGTCTTTTCCAACTATGCCAATGAATTTTTTCGGTTTTCAGGGTCGAGCCCCACCAAAATCGAGCATAAATACTGTGAATGTCATGACAAAGAGTGGCCAGAAGCTGAAAACAACTGAGGGTATAGTTAGGGATGACCTGAGCAACCGCCTTAATGAGGACCTCTTTTCCGTCCATTGAAAAAAGCCTTCTTTTCCAACCCTGAAGAGCCTTCCAAATTCTTTCTTTCAAAGCCCCGAAAACTTGGCACCTATTCCTATTAATCTGCGATGGTAAGCCAAGATACTGTCCCAACTGCTTCGTATAAGGGATGTTAAGTTCTTTGTGGATGTGATCAACCATGTCTTGTCGCGTGTTTTTGCTTGCCATAAAAAGAGACTTCTCTAGATTGATAATTTGCCCCGATGCTAGCTCATAGGATATGAACACTCTTTTAATGGTCCCACAATCTTTCTGAGTGGCATTGAAGAAAACTAAACAGTCATCTGCAAAAAATAAATGTGAGAGTGAGGGGCAGTATTTATTAATGTGAAAACGACAAAAATTATTTGTCTCCTCTTCCAGCTGGAGAAAATAGGAAAACCTTCAGAACATAATAGAAACAGATAAGGGGATAGAGGGTCTCCCTAACGAAGTCCTCTCTCTGGCTTGAAGTATGGCCCTGGGACTCCATTAATGAGAATCGAAAAATTCACCGATTCCACACAACTCATAATAAACTCAATCCACCTGGAACAGAACCCCATTCTCATCATGACCCCTCTCAAATACCTCCCCTCCACTCCACTCTATCATAAGCTTTTGACATATCTAGCTTTAAAGCCGCCACCCCAATCTTACCAGTCGATTTGCTTTGGAGATAGTGAATACATTCAAATCCAATAATTGCGTTGTCCATGATAAGACGTCCAGGGACAAACGCCGACTGAGAGGGGGAAATTACATCACTCAAAACTTGCTTAAGCCTGTTAGCCAGAGTTTTCGAAACGATTTTATAAATTACATTACACAGGCTAATCGTCCTAAAATCTTTCATATGCTCCAGATTCTTCTACTTGGGGATAAGAAAAATAAAGGTTTTATTCAGTTGATCCATATCCCTTGAGCCATTAAGGACCTGCAGGCAGATATCGACAGTTTCCTCTCCCACAATGTCCCAGTAATTCTGATAGAAAGAAGCTTGAAACCCATCTGGACCTGGCGCTTTGGACGGAGGCATGTCAGCTAAAGCCCTTTGAACCTCTTCAAATTTGAATTCCCTAGTAAGCCTCTGATTCTGCTCGCTTGAAATCTTTGATGAAATAGAGTTCAAAAGCGACCTCATGTCCTGCTCATTAGGATTATTTGTCGTGAAAAGTTGCCTAAAGTAGGAGACAGCAATATGGCCGATCACATTCTCTGATCTACACCAGATTCATGAATCATTAAAAAGGCCACCAATTCTGTTTGTTCTCTTCAAGAAGCTTGTTCAACTCGTTCTCTGCCTTCCAAAGGTTATACCGCCAACTGTCAGATCTATCCAGAGTAAGATCCCAAATTTCAACTTCTTTCCTCGCTATCGCACCACGAAGAGAGCCATTAAGCCTTGATTTATTCCACTTACCAAGTTCGGCTAAGCAAGTTTGGAGCTTTCGTTGGAACGTTACCATATTGATCTCCCCTCGATTTGACCACACTTTTTGAATGATCTTCTTACATTCGCCCATTTGATACCACGAATTTTCAAACCGGCGCGGTCTTTGACCCCTTCTTTCCCCTTCTGAACCGTCACCCTCAACAAGCCAAGAAGTAAGAATTGGCCTATGATCCGAGGCTAAGAAATCAAAATGGTGCACTACCATAGATGCCTGGATCTGAAGCATTTCCACATTTATTAGAAATCTATCCAACCTCTCCCAAATAGGCTGCCTTGAAGAATGCCCATCAAACCATGTAAAATCATCTCCAGAATATCCCGGATCAATTAATAAGTTTTTGCCGCCTCGGGAATGAATAATTTCATAATATCTCCATAAGTTTATGCTTAAATTACATAATATAATATCTCCATTTATTTTTAATATTTTGAAGGAATAATTTTTATTATAATATTTATATTATCTTAATGGATCGGAGTTGCCACACCAACATTTCGTGAATAATGTTAACAAAGAGAGACTAAAGATTTATGTCAACTCATTTATGTTCCTTGTCGACTCCTAGATTTTATAATGTCTAATGTATACAATTTATAGACTTGTACTCAATTAGCTCAAAGTATATGATAGTCCTCTATTTACCATAAATAATTGACATGAGTAGAAACAATATTTTTTGTTGGGAGGGAGTAGAAGCGATTCACATTAGTAAAATCATTGTTCGAACTCACCAAAATATATATATATATATATATATATAGGAGGGAGTAGAAGCGATTCACATTAGTAAAATCATTGTTCGAACTCACCAAAAGATATATATATATATATATATATATATATTTGTATTAGAAGTGCGTTTTAAGAAAATATAACTAAACACACCTCGAATTTTTATTCAAAGTGTTTTAAGAAACAATATTTTTATATACATATATTTTGGTCATATACCTAATCAATTATATTGGCGTGGTACCAGAACGAGTGTCTAAAGTCACACATATGGCGAAACTATGTATCGAGGAGTTTTCAAATGTATTTAGGTTCTTGTTGTATTATTAATATAAGAAATTAACAACTAAAATATATATTTCTTTTCCTATAAAATTAGGAGCCAAAATAAGAACTTGTTCTGATGGTTGTGGAATTAAAACAAAATTTCTTGATACTTAGATTGAGGTAATTTGATGCCAAGTGCGAAAATGTAGATGCACCCAATTAATTAACACATTCCCTCTTAATTAACCCTAGTCGGTCCAAGCCACCCAATCTATTTCTTGGGACGCATACTAGGTTTTGATTGAAAATAAATTTAGATATTATACCGTTGACCAAAGTTTAACGTATATCTAAAGGTAGCATAGAAATATAAATGTGTATATGGTCATTCATCAATGAATCAACGCATTAATTTATTTTTAAAATAAAAGAAAAAATGAGAAAGAAAAAATATATCGAATAAGAATGAAGAAGGATAAAACTGTCAAAAGAATATATCATCAACATTGAAGTCTTAAAAACACAGATTGTAGAAGAGCATCCAAAATTACTTGCATGTTTTTTTAGCATCCTAGTCTGAGCATCTAAAAATGTCTGAGTATCTAACATTTCTGTCGCTCATGAATAATATAAATGTCAATCCTATAAAAATTATAGATTCACACCAAACAAACCACGACCAATGGTAACACAAAGGTAATACAAAAATTAGTGAAAAGGAGAATATTTAGGAAGAAAGATTAGTGATTAATGTGTGGTATAGAGTGAAATTCTTTGTGCAACAAGCATGTAGGGWGAGAGTTAATCAGAGGAAATATGTATATAGTGTAATTAGGGAATGATCATACGTAGTTTCTTATCGGTAATTAAGAATCAAATCTCGTTTTCACCATCATTGAAAAATTGCAACTCATTCTATTTAAAATGAAAATCTTGCTTTTGAATTTTCTCTCTTAAATTTTCTATCTTAATTGTCAAACTTTTAATAGTGATGAGTACAAGATTTCTCCTTAAGGTTAAAGAGCCAAGTATTTTCCATTCGAACAACAAAGTGTATATTATGAGATAGATTAAAACTACAGTTTCAAGCCAAAAGCACTTAACACAACTCTTTTTAAGCACTTTTAAATTATAGTACAACATATTAAGGAGGGAATTTGAACTCACAATCTCTTAGTTGGAAGTACATACCAATTACCGGTGAATCATGTCGTAGAAATAGTTTGAACGCGGCCTAAAGAGAATAAATATATTAAATATGATACGTGTTGGTTTAGAGTAAAGTCATTTACTTGGAGTACACAAAATGGAACATTAATTCTATTCTGCCACCCATCACCTAAAACTGTGGGCCGCAGCTGTGGATACGCCAAATTAGATTTTCTTTTTTTTTTTTCTTTTCCTATTTTTTTCTCTTGTCCCTACACTCACCAACTTGTCTCCACTATGGTTTTGTTAGAGATTTGGATTGAATAAAAAGAAATAGTAGTAGAGAAAAAATTTCAGTGGGAGCGATCTCTCTATGGTGCAGAATCAAACGATCTTGAAACTATATACCTTGCTGAATGAAATTGACGTTGACCTAATGGAGAACAATCTTCTAAAATCTGAATTTAAAGGGGTAGCAAATAACACAAATTGTGTCGGATTTTATCATATTAAGCGAAATGTTTAGATTTGTAACTCTGTTTAGTCATTTATTTTAAAAAAAAAAAGATGTTTTGTCCATTGAAACTAATCCTTGTTAAATAAGGTATATTATAAATCTTTGTTATCGATTATTTTATTTTGATTTCTAATCTTTTTAAATCTATATACTTTAATCCATCCACTTTCAAATTTATTGTACTTTTGTCTCTCGAAATTTAAAACACCTATTTCAAACTCTAAGACTTTAAAAAGTGAGCTTTTTAATGGTGTAATAAATAAATACTGAAACCACAACTGTGGTTGGTATTCAGAAGACAACTACTAAGTAAAATAATAATAAAAGTAATAGTCAAAATAATTTCAGAAATTAAAAAAAAAACATTTTTTTTATTGGATGGGACCAAATAGTTGCTTTTTTCTTTTTCATTTTTAATTTCGATATTGAAAATATACATTGTAAAAGAAGATTTAGATCTAATTTTTTAAAATATTCCGTGTGAATTAAATGCAGCAGTCAGTTCCGTTACGCTCTACGGTTCTTTAACCGTAATTTCCCCAAAGTTGAGGGGTAAAACGGTACAAAATCTTCCCCTGTAATACTTTCCGGTGGACCGGTTTCAGCGTTCAATCAACGCCTATAAAAGCCCCTAAACTTCCTCCCGAAGAAATCGCCCAAATTTATTCTTCATGAAATCGACGCTTCCAATGAAATCCCGCTCCGCTCCTCTCCTCCTCCTCCTTCTCCTCCCGGCGATGGTGGCCGCCGTCGCCGTGGCCGCCCGGAAGGGGCCTCTGGTCGGCGGCTGGACGCCGATTACGGACGTGAAGGATCCGCACGTTCAAGAGATCGGGAAGTTCGCGGTGGCGGCGTACAACACGCAATCGAAAGGAGCGATCAAATTCGATCGCGTGGAGAGCGGCGAAACGCAGGTGGTGTCCGGAACGAACTACCGGCTCGTGGTGGTGGCGAAGGACGGCGGCGGTTCGACGGCGAAGTACCAGGCGATCGTGTGGGAGAAGCCATGGGAGAATTTCAAGAAACTTACGTCTTTCAAGCCGGTCGCCAATTGACGAGGGGATCAGTTCAAGTTTCAAGCCCTAATTTGAGGTTTCTTCTTCCGATCATGGTGATTTGTGGCTTCTGGAGTTTGGTTGTGTGTTAAATTTTAGTAATCGTTAAAATAAAATTGCATTATGCATTGCAATTTCTGGGAAAATCGGCTTCTCGATTCTGTTTTCTTTGTCAGTGGATCTCTTTTTTCTCGAACAACGGATCTTGTTATCTTATCTCAAATTGGGGCAATAGGTTATGGGTCCCATTGTTATTTTATATTAGAAATTATGAAAAACTATTAATATATCGGCTTCTGTGAATATAAAAGTGAATTGTGGACACACTTTAGAACAGGCGGACACCAATTCAAATATATCATAATGTCACTAAACATAATATTAATATTTTTGGAATATAAAATATTTATTCTATTAATTTAAACATTTGTTACAAACTTTTTGTTTTTATAATTTTTTAAGAAATTGAATTAAATTCTTAAGAGTTCTTTTAATAATTGAATTGTGTTAAAATGTGTTCTCAAGTAAATTTGGATGCTTATCTCCTGCCTGTGAATTTTTAGACATAAATGATGAATCTTTCAATATTAGATCTTCTTATTTTAATTTGAGTTCTAATAGTTTCTTTTTTAATTAATTAAAATAATTATACAAGAGAGCAAAATAAAATTAGTTTTTTTAGGAAGAAAATAATGGAGCAATGGGAAGCAGTTTACAATCATGTAAATAAGGTGGCTACTATTTAAAAATATGACCTTTTCACCCATGTCACTTTTCCCTTACTATAAGACTCAGAGGGGCAATTGGAGACAAAACCACCTCAATCGCCCTTACTTGTCAATCTATCCATTTTCCACTTCCTCTTTCCAAATTTTAGTATAATTTGATAGATAAAATACTTATTATCGTATCAAAGATGATGGTTAAATCTCATGACTTCTGCAACCATCGAGCTGATAAAAAAAGTTTTATAAATATGAGAGGAGACAAACATGTAGAAAGATGAGAAGTTACGACCACCATTAAAAGAGATGAAAAAACAGAGACTAAGGTTTGGTTGGCAAAGAACAAAGTATATCTTCCTTTGCATAAAATGGCAGATATAAATCTTACTATTTTTTAATAGATTTATAAAATAAGCTATCCAAATTACTCGAATTAACTTATCTTGACTATATATAATCAAGTAAAAATTGAATTTATTATTGAAGGATAAAGAGGGATCAAAATAAAATTTCAAACTTACCCTATCAAATTGTAAATTTTTTTAAAAGAACAATATTAACAAGATTTTCATCTCAAGTCTCTTAAATCAAATGATTCAATTGTTTAGATTTACAACTTAATCACAGTATGGAGATATCAACTTAAATTTAAATTATTGGTTCGGTAGCTTTTGATGTATATATTAGAATCAATTAGGGAAATAAAAACATTCATACAAGGAAGAAAATATAGATTTTTAGTCTAATAAAATTGTAAAATGGATATATTAACTTAATAAGGAACTAGTCTACAGGCTTGAAGTTTGAAGCACTGGTCTTAAAAGATAATTAAAAGAAAATATATAACTTTTTAAAACTTTTTTCCTTTGGATTTTGAAATTTGAAATGATAAGATTATTTTGACTTTGTTTAGTTACAGTTTTTTATTTAGTTTAAAATTTAAAATATCTATCTTATAAAAATATTTACAGGTTTTTTACATTTTTATTTTAAAAATAGTATTTCAAACCTATTCAATTTTGAAATAAATAAATAAACTGATTTTCAGAATTTTGTTCTTTCTCTACTTAAATTTGGCAATTTGATTTAGTGAGAGATACAATCAATAATACCTATCATTCAAAATATTTTGAGCGGCACCAAATGCCACGCGAGGTAGGATTACTTCTTTTTCCTATTTTTTATTTATTTTAAATTGAAAATATTAACCTTATAAAACTACTTACATGTTTAATTTTTATTTTTAAAAAAGAGATGAATATGTTTAAATTTTTTTTTTCATTTTCGTTGAATTTCAAATTTTGACTTAATATTTATTAGTTTTTTAATAATATTCTTCTTTATTTTAAAATTGAAATTATCAACTTATAAAACTATCTACACATTTGATTAGTTTTTTTTTTTTATTTAAAAATATTATTTAATTTAATGTTGGAGAAAGAGACGGATTGGTTTTGGTCAATAATATAGGTAATTTAAAATCTTAATCTTATTCCACTTTGGTTTATTACTTTTTTCCTATATGTACAATTTCTTGTCGCATGTAATTACTCTTTACATTCAAAATAATATTAGTATGTTTATTTTGTTTATTTATGTCTTAAAATTTATTTATCAAGCGAGTATAGCTCCGCGGTAATTGATATATATCTCCAACCAAGAGATTATAAATTCAATCTCCACCCGGACCACATATTGTGGCACATATCTCCAACCAACCACCTCGTTGTATTAAAAAGAATACAATGACAACATTGATCCCTATGGGAAAAGCGAACTAAAAATTTCTATTATGTTTTCGGAAATTTTGAAGGTAGTTGACTTTGTTATCCAATTAAGCCCAACCTCCACGTAGAATTAGTGAAGAAAAAAGAAAAAAAAGAGTCGCCATAAATTGATAAAAGAGTCACGAACACACTAATAGATTAATGAAAGGCATAATAAAAACAAAACGATAAACTTCTAGAATTATTATTATTTATTTTGAATGGTGTATTATAAATAGCTAGAATTATATCCCCACGATTGAAGTTGAAAAGGCAGGCTAGATAGTAAGCTGGGTAATAGTTAATACTTGTTATTGACTTTTGTCATATATCAACTAATTGGCCTTATGATGGCAGAAATTTCTTGCTAGTTAAAGATCTATCTTTTTATGTGATTCGTCTTTATATGCGTTGATGCCGATTTTTGGACAGATGCCACATGTGTCCGCCACGAGAGTGCCTCATATGTCTCTATCTCCATCTCTTAGTTGATCAGAGTTCACTTGCACATAGAAACGTCTTGGACTAGTGGGGTGCTCTACCAAATGCATTTTAATACCTAAGTTACAACTTAAAATGAGAGCAAACGGGTATGGAACAAGTAGAGTAAGAACGATGTAGGAATCTTTGAGTACCAGTTTCGAAAGTCTGCATGCATAATTTTCCTAAGGATTCGTGTATGAATTTTTACTTACATGTATTAGAGTTTCGAGAGAGAACGATAGAGAGAGGAGGGTTGTGCCAGGTGTCATGGAGACCATTGACACTCTCATTCCCTCTGTGTAGCACAAGGGGGCGCGACGACGTCCTGAACGATCCTTTAGAGCGTATCATGATTCAAGCATAGTGTGTCAGTGCCTTTGCTACCGAAGTCGTCTTTCGTACAAACAACCCTAAGCATGTTCACCCCTTTGATATAGTGCGCTCAGGTTGTGACACGATGCACTCGATTCTCTTTGTCTTGCATCACGCAAGTGACGTCCACGTGGCTCAATTGGAGCTCGAACAGGTGTCGCCAGGCCCGATAACAATAAGATTAAAAGACTGACTACTAAATGTAGCAATCACACAAATGGAGTAGAAACACCAATTTCAGACATCCAACCGCTAGCCTAGACAAAATGACAATCACGCTTATGTTGAATGATATTCTATCAAATGGGTATTAATAGCTACATTTTGAACATGTCCTTCAGATTCAACACTAGACCTTGAAACAACTTTTTGTATAGAAAACAACAACCTTGAGCTAAAAAAAGTGTAAAATCCACCATCAGTAACCAATTAGCCAAATCAAAATCTGTACAACATGAGGAAAACTGATTTAAAGATGCAGTGAAATAAAATACCAAAAGAATTAGGTACTCTTTAGTCCTTAGATAACAAGCAATTGTTTGACAATGTGTCAAAAAGAGCTCATTAGAACACAAAAACGAAACATATTTTATACAAAAAAGTTTAGATATCAAAATTAAATATGAGGGTGCGATTTAAGTATACTATTGCCATTAGAGTTGCAATTTGTCAATTTTTGAGCCGTTCTTAGTCAATTAAAATACGACAAACTTTTCCAATCCTATAGAGATGAACCGAATCAATAGTTTTTTTTCTTTCTTTCTTCCCAAGAGAATCAATAGGTTGTTTTATTATCAAACTTTGGGGTCTTAAGATATCATCTACCTCTTATTTTTTACGGATCTATTTCCACTAACTTCACTCTGCTCAAAGAATGATTATATTTATTATAACCAACCACAATATAGATTATATAGAGTTGAAAAATTAAAATACAGGAAACATAAAAACTTTTTAAAATATAAGAATGATTATATTCATGATGACAAACAAGATTTTAAATGTCGATGTCGAGATCTCAATTTCATGAAAATATCCATAAAATGTCGATGTTGATAGATATTTCTAAAAAAGTTAGAAAAATTAAAAAATCGTAAAAAAGTATTTAAATTAACAAATACACATTTTCCTATTTCTCAATTAATTAAAAATAATTAATATTTATATTATTGTCGATTTTCTTATACTATGATGGAAATATCAATTTACCTCTCATGTTGATGTCGAACTGATGGAAATATCGACGTGAATGACTAGCCGAATAAAATTGTTACACTAAAATAACACATAATAAAAATAGTCTAAAATTGCATCTAATTTTTTAATGAATAAAATTGTTACGTTAAAATAACACCTAATAAAAATAGTCTAAAACTGCATTTTATTTTTTAATGAGTAGATAAAAAAAAGGAGTAGATATAAAACATATAATATTTACCAAAATTTATACTAACTTTTATCAAAGTTAATAGTTAAACATAATTCACCAGTAATTGACATTTATTATTCTTTCTTTTTTGAGTGGAGGTTCAAATTTCTATATCTCCAATTTATTGTACTAAAATAACGTTTTTTAAGTAAAAATATCTTTAATAAATGGTAATAAGAATAAAATAATGTACTTTTAACTAGATCATCGTAGTTGTTTTATTCATTCAACTAGGTTGGAATTAATTAATTAATTTTTATTCTTTTATGTAAAAACATATTAATTGGAGAATTTGCCACATTTTCCTAATTTTCTTAGGAATACGAAGAAAAAAGGGGAAAAGAGAGATGAATTTCTGCACCTCTGATCTATCAGCTTCATCTGTGTAGCCCAAAAATCTGGTCCATACAACCACCACAGAGAGAGCAGAGCAGAAAGCCCTTGGATTTACTGTACTTCGTTCGAAGCATTTCAGCAAAAATAGGAATCTGTGCGTCCGGACCTGCTCCTTCACGGGGAGCCTCGTCGGTGGTGCAGAGGCTCTCGCAAAACCAAGATCAACAACAACAATCTCAAGCCGCGCCGGTTTTGGATTCCCAGAATTCGAAGAAGATGAAAAGCCTCTTCAAACCCAAGCCCCGTACACCCATCGATGTCGTCCGCCAGACCCGCGATCTGCTTATCTATACAGACCGGAACCCCGAGACTAAGGAGAGCAAGCGGGAGGAGAAGGTCTGATCCGTGTCTTTTTTTTTTTTTTTTTTGGTTTTTGTTGCTTCTTAGTTGAGATTCGTACTTTGGGTTTGTCTGTTCTTGGGTAATTTTGCTTTGTTTTCCTGTGTTTCTCTGTTTCTGGGGCGGGGAGGAATTGGGATCATATCGATTTTTTATGAATTCTGCCCTTTTTGCTTCTGGGTTCTGTGAATTGCGATCGAGGATGTCTTAAGACAGTGTTCATCGGTGCGCTTGGTTTTGAATGGTTAAGTTTTTTTTTTTGTTTGTGATGGTTCAAGGGGAAATCAACTTAATTTTTGTTTTCCTGGTGTTCCTCGTTATTAAGCAGGCAGCTAAATATACTCAATGATAGTTTAATTTCGTTTTGGTTTTAGTCTTTAGCTATTTATATTGATGTACAAAATGATTGTCTGGATTAAAACCATCTAATTATTAGTAGTTTGATTTCTTCCCATCATTCAAGATTTAATAGTTATGTTTTCAGAAAAAAGAAGAAGAAGAAAACTCCTGCTTAGATGATAGATCCCTTTTGTGTCCAAAGAATAAATAAAAAAGATCATCTTTGGTTAAAAATTGTAATGCCATTTATCCTAGGCAGATTTCATTTCGGAATGTGGTGAGAAAGGTCTGGAAGGAGTGCCTCCTGTTAGATAGCTTGATTTTCTAAGGGGGGAGGGTGGCCGTTCTCTTGTTGCTTTTGTTTACATTTCGGTGGAAAGGATTGGTTCTTATTTGGTGAAGTGGGTGAGACTGTCGGAGATTGTCTAGGGTGTTGAAAAACTGATCAGCAAGAACTTAGTGCTTTTTCATAAATGGCTGTGGTCTTTTTTGTAAGGGACTTCTTATGGCACAAGGTTATGGTGACTATCTTGGAAAACCATCTCTCATCACCCTTTACTTTTATCTGAACTTTGGCACTTTCCCTTGGATGACAGGGCCTGTATTTGGTTTTGGAGAATGTATCTTTTTAAGACTCCTATCATTGGATTAACTTTTCTGTTTATACACTTGCTTAATTTGTAATTTTATTAAATTGCATCACTCACCCCTTCCTTTTCATCCCTTGCTTTCTCTTTTCTTCAGCTTCCGGTGAAACGTTAATGAAGAGGAGTTAGAATATTTGTTATTTTTTTTAACTTCACTTAGGGGTGTCAGTGTGTCCTTTGTCTCTGGTCTAGCAACTGTAGAGTATGGAGTTTGCCTTTCTCCAGAAGCTATTTTTCAGTCTTTGGATTCTTCTACAATCTTTATTATCCAACAATGCAGTGTTGTACATAAAGATGAGCCGTATGATTTAGTGAAGGTTGCTCTCTAGTGAGATTTAAGTGTGAATCAAATTCAAAACAAATATATGGATGAAAATCTAACAAATTAATTTAAAAAGGGAAACAGAATAGTTTAGAAAAAGTTCAAGAGTGGTTTAGCACAGAAAAAAGCGTTAGAAAAATTAAAGTAGGCTGAGAAGGGTCTAATATAAAGAAGTGAAGGAAAAAGGTGTTTTGGGGAAAAAGACAGGATGAAGTAGAACCATTCAAATTTTTGAATGAGAAAAAGATGGTTGGAAAAAGGAAAAACAGAAGGAGAAGAAGAACAAGAAGATGATGACTTTCTTCTAACAGTTGAAGGGTGATAAGGAGGACATCAAAGACAATGATTCTACTTGCTGTTTGGAGGATTGATCAAAGAAGAGATTTCCTTTCTTACCTTTGGAACCTTGCAGAGGATGAGAACAATGCTAAGTCTGGTTGAGTTCTTGGGCTGGCAGCAATGGACTGCTGCCAGCAGTTATGATTTCGGGTATGAACAGAAGCTCAGAGGTCTACCTTTCAAAAAATTTCCTTGTTAATTTGATATTGTAGAGACTTCCAACCTGATTGCCTCACCATGGAATTTTGTTCATGGTAACAAAGTGGCAACCATGGAATGTGCCTTGATGTGCATGCAATTGTTGCAGCAGATAAGACGTGGAATGCATAAGTGTGCTCTTGATGTGCCTTAACAACACATTTATTAAGACGTCTAATATATTATTGCTTTCTTATCAGCTGCTTTCTGAAGATTATCTTATGATGATTCTTATTCTCTCATATTTGGAAAGCTAATTTATCATCTGGATGTCTCATATCATAGGAAAGTGTTATAGAGTTTTGTTGAAACAAGAGGAATTTCAATATCATTGCTAATTGTCAAATTTAGTGCAATGATATATTATCTGATATCTAGTGCATCTGGGAAATTTATATTTTGTATTATGCTCTGGGAATAAATCAACTTTGATGTATTGTATTCTGATTGTGCTTTTTTGATTCAGCCGTTTTGTCTATCTCTTATTTTCAATTTTAATATTTTCTAACTGTATCTGTCCACTGTGCACTTTTCAGCAGATGTTAGAATTAAGTAAAAACGTCAGGGAGTTGAAATCAATACTTTATGGAAACAGTGAATCTGAACCAGTTGCAGAAGCATGTACACAGCTAACCCAGGAGTTTTTCAGAGAGGATACACTTCGGCTTCTAATTAAGTGTCTTCCTAAATTGAACTTGGAGGTAAGCAGAATGAGGCCTATTGCTTGTTTAGACTTTTATTGCGAATTCTTCAGTTAAACTCTTTTGTTTTGAGTGTTACTTATGTGGTTTCTTCTTGATACTCTTTTGAGATTCCACATTGATGTTCTTGGAGGTAAGCAGAATGGGAGCCTACAAGAAAATTGCTTGTATAGGCTTCCATATGAAATCTGCATTTGAAGTGTGAACACTTGTTTATTTGTTTTATGTTTGTGCTTTCTTGTTGCTACCCTTCTGAGATTCCACCTTGATGTTACTCGTCGTGACATGTTTACATTTTGTAGACACGAAAAGATGCTACTCAAGTAGTTGCAAATTTACAGAGGCAACAGGTTCAGTCCAGATTGATTGCATCTGATTATTTGGAAGCAAACATTGATCTGATGGATATCTTGATAGCAGGGTAACCAACTGATGATTTTTTTCTCCTGTCATAATTCTCTATTGTGAGATTTAACTAATAAGCGGAATATTTCTTTTTCCCTCTCTAAAACTGCTTTTCTTGACCACATTTAATCATGACTAATTCAGAAACAAATTATATTTGGTTAACATCTCAACTTCGAACTAGACCTTTTGATCTCTTTTTATCCTAAAGCCATGATTATACCATGGGGAAAAGGTTCTCTCTCTCATACTCTCACATGTAGACAAAAAGTTGATGTGAGCAAGGGATGAGATCAGATAACAATTTTCTGAATGTGGAAACCATTGTTTTAAAAGACATGGTTAAATGGTGCCTTGCTGTCCTAAAGTGAGGCTAGGCGCAAAATGAAATGTTTCTCCATTCTTTAAATTTAATTATTTAGTTATTTTTTCTAAGAGGAACTAAGAAAGTAAATTAGTTAAAAGCCTAAATCTTTTTCATTTATCTAAAAAAACATAAAAACTCCGAGCTGTTACTATGGCTAGAAGTTCAATTTTTGGTGGTTTCATCAAATGTCACATGTTCCCTTC